AAATTGCTATGATTGAGAATCATATACCCGACTTACCCGATTCTAGACATGAAGTATAATCATGTGCTTGGCATATATTAATTATTTTTTCCAGGACTTTTGATTGATCTCGTATCTTACCCGTATCCATTTTCCGATAGAATTACAATAACCGCAACCTATTCAATTTTGGATATACTGCTCGAGATAATTAATTTCGATTTGAAAAAATATTTTCTATAGTTATAATCCACACAACTATCCCATAAACACCATGTCAAGAATTGCAACAAGATATATAGATTATCATAATCTAACCCCCAAAATGAGCATAGCCGAACTTAGCAATTATTCTGAAGGATTGGTTAAAATTTTAAAAGATGTGAAGGCCCGTGATCATGCAAGAAATCGGATCCAGAAATTGGGATTTAGTAAAGATCAAACATATGCTTTAATTCCTATTCAAACATCTGGAAGACGCGTTACAGGTAGGGATCCAGTTAAGAAACTTGCTTTGTATATTAAGGAGAATGAAGATAATCTTGAAGCCAAAGAAATAAATGAATTGGCTCGTAATTTAGCAGAAACAGGCCCTACTGATATAGCCAAATCTTCTCTCCTTAAATTGCTCCGAAAAGAATTACGCCAACTCAATGCCAATTCTATTACATTAGAAGCTATATATGCCCCAGACATTACTATTGCATCAAATAAAGAACAAAGGGGGAGGCAAGAGCGTCGTGAAGATGAAGGATACGATTGTCCCGAATTCTTTACTCTAGAAAAAGTACAGGGACGACTTCAAAAATGTGACACAGCTAATCCTCCTACAATACAAAATTTAATCGATATAATGGTAATGCTATGTATGAGGCCAGCAGACGTGAGAAATCTTCATATAGACCAGTATAATTCAAATAATGCGGAATGGTACGATCCTAAATATTCTTGGTACTGCACTGGCTATGCTAAAAATAAAAATGACGAGCCTAGGCCATTCGTATCAATGGAAAAAGACCCACTACGAGCTATTGAGTTACTTACTTGGATTCAAAAGTCAATTCCGGAGAGATTTCCATTTCTAGTAAAGGATGAAGATGGTGATGTGAACGTCCATCCGATTAATAACTTTTTAATTCCCTATGGCATTAGTTCATCATATTTAAGAAAAATAGGTTCCGAACATGCTATTATAATCCATGAAGGTAAGACTCGCTCTAAATGTAACCATCTTTGTAAATTAGCATTAAGACACAAAATAAATCGAGAAGCATCAGATCATTACGGTATAATGAATAGCAGACCGAATATTCCAGCACCTAAACAAGAAAATAGTGAAGTCGAGGATATCATCGATTTGTATGGAGAAATTTCTGATGATGATAACTAATTACGCTTCTTTGCTTCGAGAACTTGCATACGTATTTCATTCTCATCGATGTTAGAATATTCAGAGCCCGATTTAGTTGAGGATGAAGACGAAGAATCACTAAGAATGATCTTTTTTTTGGCTATCTTGCATCGTTGTTTAGCAGTACTTGGGTTTGCTATCACGTTTATAATATCTTGCTGAATCTCGGATTTAATTATTTATCGCGATAGCAAATTCCCATATTTCACGAATTCGTGTATATGATACATTATATTTTTTAGCTAGATTCGGTAATGCATTTGCTGAACCCTTAGCAGTAATTATATCACTAATTGCTTCTGGTGATAAGTGTGTAGCACCTGATCTTAATCTTTTAATCATTTATATACGCATAAAAAAAAATATTGGTTATTTTTCCGATTAAAGATATATGTGCTTTAGCACTAACTACGTTATAATATACAATTTGAGAATGACGCAACTATTGCGGAGCAATGACCCAAAGGGTCTAAATATTTTTGATTTACCCGAATTACTTGAAATTATTTTCTCATATCTAGCAAAAGATAAATCGCTTTACCCAACTCTCTTAGTTAATAGGCTTTGGTACCACTGTTCCGCTCCTATTCTATGGCAACGCATTGAGTTTTTTACAGAAAAAGATTATCAGAGAGGTCGGCGTGGTCGTAAGATGCCTCGAGTTCTTACTCGGCAATTGATAAACTTTGAAAGAATTATGTGTGGGAAAATAAAGCCTCACTATTGTTCAAAGATGGTATATCTCAGAATAGAAGGTTTAAAAATCAACGCATCTTTGATTAGTGCGATTCTTCGCTCATGTCCAGATATACACACTCTTATTCTTGACCGAAGTGTTGGTTTATCTAACAAACCAATTATAGAAATTGCGAGATATTGTCCAAAGCTATTACATCTGAGTCTTAATTCATGCATGTGTCTCACTAATCGATGTATCACTGAAATTGCTCGCTCATGCCCAAAACTTAGACATCTTGAGCTTGGTAATTGTTCGATTGGTAATAAAGCTGTCGAGGAAATAGCCCGAAACTGTAATAATTTGAAATATCTCGGTTTGAAAGGATGTAATGGGATTAGCGAAGAAGTGATGAAAAAGCTTAATTCTAAAATTAAAATCGAACATCCAGATTATTCCAATGATGAATTTTCAGATTCAGATCTACCTCCACTTGTTCCAGATCCATTAAGGGTATCTCGAACTGTTATCTTTACCGGTGGACCTAATAGAATGGTTTTAACCAATACATTAACTGTAACAGATCTTATTTCTGCAATTAGAGTATCAACAGAATTGACTGATTCAGAACGAATTAATTTATTAAATAGTCTTGCTCGAGCCATTAATCAATGATTATATCAGAGATACGGGCACTGATAATACCGAGTTTTTTCTGAATAGCTGTTATATCCTTTTTCTTATATAAAAACACCTCGTATAATATTTCACTTGGCTCAGTTTTATTATTAGTATTACTCGTCATGATTGTTATAATAAAATAATATATTAATTACAGAAAAGTTAAATTACAATTAAATTAAAATCACGTATGCCGATCACTTTTCTAGAAAAAAAAAATGAATGTATCTAGTACTTTAATATAATACGTCATTATACATAGGATATTAATATGTCCCACAAATCTAGAAATAATAGACGTAAAACTCAAGGTAAATTTACCACGAATCCTACACAGTATATACAATCTTAAAACCGGAATAAATATATGCACGTTACGGAAGGAGAACATATAATTATCATAAATAGAAATACTCAAGATACGAAAGCGGTATTTGACTATGAAGAGGTATCTAGAGATAAATAATCTCGATTTGGGTATTCTTAGTGTGCACAGCAATTAATTGGCTTATTTTTTGATATTTATATGGATAGCTTTATTTAATGAAAAAAAAAACAAAGAAATATTAAGAAATAGATATAAAACCAAACCTATGAGTGGATACCGTAGAACTATCTTCCATTTGTCTTTTAGATATTGATTTATTTATTCTTCTTGCTTCTCGTCTGAAAACTATTAACAAGACATTGCAAATTCACAATAATTCCATTCTAAAAATAATAATAAAAATCAGGTTATTGATTAATTGCGCAATTTCTATGGAAAGGAACACTTACTCGTAATGTTAATAGAGCATGAATAAATTCTTCCACCTCTTCAACCGATTCCATATTGAGTGGTATTTTCACTTTAGATACCGGAAGATAATATTTAACCCCTCCTTCTCGTGCAAGTCCATGGATTACAAGGTATTCACCTGCAACATTAACACCAAAACCCATATAATTTTTGTAGAGAACTTCAGTTATGCACTTTTTTTCGATCTCATCATACCCATCAAGGCAGAATTGAGCTAGTTTATTATGGTCATCAAGTATTTTGTTATCGTTGGATTTCCACTTGCCACTCTCGAAGTACACGATTTCCTCCCATTTTTGCCGATGATATGATCGTATCATGAGATCTGGCTTATCCCCTCTTGATCCTATACTTTGTTTAACCTTGCGGTTTTTGCTGGCTTTACTTTGCCATTCGGCCCTTGTTACATCAATTTCACATTCAACAGGTAGACGATACATAGTAGCATCCATCAGTCGTGCTATGATTTCTACTAGTGAATTTTCAGACCCTCTAGAAATTTTACGAAGTGCATTAAACCTTATCTCCTGTAAAAGAACATCAGTAATAACCCTTGCAATGCGCTCCCTGTCCTGCTCCTGCTCGATCCATCGTGAATGCGTTACTGCTTCCTTTGTTGATAATACAAACTTATATAATCGATGGAGTTCATCTCTTTTTTCCACAAAATCGGCACATATATTCTTTATTAAAGTATTTTTATTCAATGTTCTTATACATGCTTTCTCCTTCTGTAGGTGTACGGTATAAATAGTAATTAATATCACTCATTTTTAACACTCAAAAAGAATATTGTTTAATTATACAACAGATACGCACAATTAGATCATTATATTCACTTTCTGGAATCTGAAATCGATCTGATCCTAGGTCAACTATACCATTACACAATAGATCATCATGTGTTAAATCATCTATATCTATCTCACATAATTTCTTGAAAAGATGGTTGTGGGTCGGTGTATTTTCTTTCTAGTAAATTAGATGTAATATGGGTCAGAGACCCTATGCTTCGCATATTAATAATTGATTTATTTTCATTAATCGTAATGATACGTACTTTTATTGCTTCTCTTAATATGGATATGTTACTAGAAGCTGTATTTTTCCAGTCCACTTGTTCTTTAAATTTCTCCCGTAATAAACCTGCATCTACTAATGACATGAGTTCTTTTCGATTATATCGTATCTACGTAAAATAGAAGTCGGGTTAATAGACGTCCAAAAATCATCATTTATAACTCAGATAAATCCGACTTCTGAATCAGTGTTTGCCGGCTATGGGGTTTGTTTAACCCTTACTGTCCACAATCACCATAAAAAATATAATGAAAAAGATTATCGCTGGCATTACACCGCTTACTCAATCGCATTATATAAATTAATGTCTCGACAGTATATTTTCATCATTTTCATATATACCAAAATAACGGATGTAAGATGCAAGAATATCCGTATGTGTTGTTATGTTATCATCAAGGCAAACTTACCAGTTTATTTTCTCGTAGCGACTTCAGATGTTTTTTACGATCATCAGCAATATCTTCACTTTCAATTTTTATTAATAAACGCTCAAGATATTCACAGTCCGCATCTTCAGTTTGAATTTTGAAAAGACTCCATTGCTGGTAAAAAATCCTAGAGATGGTGATTTGATCTAAAGATTCGTTTCTTAAAAAGTCGAGTAAGGGAGTAAATATTTCACTTGCTAAAATAGTTTCGTAAGATGACATGGTTTATAATTTAGTAGTAGAAAAAATATATAGAATGTTAGTGCTTATAATAATCGAAAAATATTTCGTGAATATCCATAACTTCGATATACTGTCCTTTTAAACGTTTTCGTTCATCTCTTTCTAAATCTTCTTTTGGATCTATAGAATGGGTGGAAGAAAGTAGTATTTACGCCAAAAAATTCCCTTACAAAGAAAATGAATGTACATGAGTTAATTAATCGAATTTGGTTAATCGCACAAATAAACATGCATATTACATTATATATAGTCAGGTAGTACACATCGAAATTCTAAAAATAATTTTCATTACATAGCCATGTACAACATATCGATTATCTGATTGATTATGCAGAGGGATTATCAAGGCACATAAGTGTCATTGCAATAAATTTAATTCCTTCTTTAAATCAATTCACGTTGAAATATATCAGATGGATAACATACTTCTTCGTTTATGGCGATGAAAAGAATACAATTAAAAGGATGGACATATACTAGCAATTACGTTTAATCAAGAAGGAATATAATATTTTTTTTATTACTTTTTCAGATGTATTAACATCCTGCTTCACGGATTCCTCTCTTCATTTATAGATTCCATATAAGAAGGTGGCTGACTGTCTTCAACATCGAACATACTAACATCACTGTCATTTTGTGATGCAGATATATTAATGGATGAGGTAATATTTGCCAACTCAGATGAAGATAAGTATCTAACATTATCTAAATTTTCATCTACATCATTCGCGTTATGACCTGAATTCTCACTCACATCATTAACATTATTTACATTGTTTCCATTATCTTGATTATTACCAGTGGTGACTGTTTCACTGGTATTCTCATTCCTTCTATTATCTTGATTATTATTGGTGGTGGCCGTTTCAGTGGTATTCTCATTCCTTCTATTATCCTGGTTATTATTGGTGGTGGCTGTTTTGCTGTTATTCTCATTCCTTTCACTAGTCGCTCTTTGGGTGGGTGATGTGGATCAATTCCTTTGATTAGTTGTAGATTCACGGCAACTCATACTTAGAATTGTTGACACTTTGTAAGATGGTGGTGGGGTACGGTTATGGCGACGTCTTCTGGTGGATGTATTTGTATTATGCAATACGTCGAATGGGGTTTCTATATTCCATATACAAGGTAAATTTATGAGTTTTCTATATATTTACCACTACAGTGATAGATTGTACCATAGGTGATCTTACCAGGTCTCTCCCAAAAATGAGAATTAAAATCTTCAAAAAATCGTTCACCTGCTCTGCTCCTCTTCCCAGTTTGACTCCCAGCTATGTATTGGCACAACGACTAAAATAAATTCAGCGAAGTAGGCTCAAAGTACATTAGAAATGTCATAGAAAAAATAGTATATAGAATTTAACGCTTACGTTGTAATCTCTAACAAGATTCTGAAATCTATTATTACATTGTTGTCCTGTATAGGTGGTCCCAAATCGTCGGTTGATTGTAATTGCAATACTATTCCAAAAGTCTACCCTGCTACTACCGGGAATATTATAATAATCCTCATTTCGATTTTTTCTTTCATCAATTAGTAAGCACAGTTGATCATCGGTCCACATCACAAAAAAAAATAGACGTTCCTAATTTCAACAGATGTTCAACAGAGATATGATATTTCCATATGTTTTTATAAGAAAAAAAAATCAACGTACCTTCAACATACCTTCATTGTGTCATCATCGTGCCTCCATCATGGATTTGCAGATCTCGGATTTGTCTATCTCGGACCAGATGATCTAAATGGAGAATGTCATACATCCATATAACTAGGAAATTAAATCATATGCTTGTAGAGGTGAAACCCAATTGCTCCGCAATAATACACTCGAAATATACAGCATGAGAAGTTAAGTTATTTGTGTAATTTGCATGCGATATTTATTAACTCGTAATTACAATTTTGAATAATCTGCACTTATATAAAAGTTACTAATAAATATGCTATTCGATATACATCTCTCCCCATTCTAATCATATTCACTGCTCGCAAAATATGACGATTTTAACACTTTCGAAGAGATGGTCCAAGAACCCAATCGCACAAAAAATGAATCATATTATTCTAGAGTATAAAGTTATTAAATCAAATAGGTCTAAATCCTTAAATTCGATATAATCACATAATCTCGAAAAACATTAACAATATCTTAATCATTAAATATGGTCTATACAGATAAATGCCCAGTTTTGAGCAATATTGAATGGAGAGATAATTGTCAATTCCCAGTGATTTGTGATGGAGAAACACCATCTGATTGGAAAAAATGAATTGATGAACTATAGAAACAATAATCATCTGATTGATAGTATGAAACGGTACATTGTTGCTAGAAAGATGGAATATATGGAAGGATTTAGTTATGGCATAGCTATTGAAGTGAATATAGCAATATGTTATAGCTGTGATCAGTTTGTTTATGTCGATAAAAGAGTAGGATATGAATTTTATCACAAATATAAGATGGAGGAGCATTGGCGTACAAATTGCATCTGAAATAAACATTGTGATATAAGTTTCAAAGAGTATATGGAGCTTAAACAGAAACCAGAAGCTGAACGCGATATTTTCACAAGGTTAGCTATTCATCGGTATGAATTACGAATAGAAAATCTTATCAATAAAGTTAAACATATTCGAGAAACAGCAAAAAAGATCCAAGCCGTAAATATCATATCTCAAAAATGGTTGTAATATATGTACAGACCTGATGGTCTCTGTGCTTCACAATTAGCTGAACATTATAAATTATTATGGGCGGTTCGAGAAGAAATGCGACAAGTTAACAATGTATAGACCATGTCTGCAGGCACGAAGTGTCATTTCTCTGAAATAAGCAATACACATATCCATTTATCTGATTAATATATCTATTTATTATATAACTTATCCATATATATATTTAAAATAAAACCACCTAAAGTATTCCTGAGGGCTAGTACTTTAGACTTTATTTTGTTATCTTTCCTAAAGGAAAGCTGGTAACATTTTTTACTTTGGTTTTTTACATATCAACCCATTTTCACCCAACACAAAAATTCCTAGTGTAGATAATAGATCGTGCTTGTTATTTTTTATTGTGAAGCAATGATCAAATAAGATGTATTTGACATTGATGTGACAAAATTATGGCTGAAAAATAATTATCTGATTTATATTCGCTATGAATGCAAAATCTAGTGAGTATCAAAACCTTAACCAAATTGTAAATCCCTTACATATTTTTAACATCATTGGTATAACACCAAATAATTTTTGATGACAACATAATGACATCAACATGCAATGTGCAAGTTAAATGCTGATCTGTTGCACAACCTGTTTTGAATCGTTCATTTATGACACAAACCAAGTTTAGTTTTTATTGTACATTTTCATTTCACTTAACACTTTTACACTTTGTATATTATTATTTGTGTACTATCTCTAAAGTCTTTATTCCTGGTTAAATACTTTACAAGAACAATGGCAGAAAGAACTGATAACCAAGTTTGTGGAACCTTTCAGGTATGTTTATTGTTTATTGTTTATTGTCCAGAAAAATTGGCTTCAATAACCATTTTTTGCGTAGGTCACTGGAAAGAATTGTGATTCCATTCGGACCAGAGGGCAAGATGGTAAGCTCGACTTATTTTCGACAAATACTAATAATAACAGTATGGGATGCAATATGCCTTCTTTGGACGTATTATGTCAGTCGACCTTCCAGGAAAGCAACATTACAAGAGCAGAAGAAATATCTTGCAAAGAGTCTGGAACGCTTAGCCGAGAAGATAGTAAAGATGGAACCAAATACAATACACCACCCTCAGAAAGTAAATCTCACATATTCACAATGAAAGGGAAAAGTGAAGAGGTTCATGTTCGGTGTGTCAGTTCGTTGCGGACCTTCACCACCGTCGAAAACAACACTAAAACACAATGCGGTAGTGGCACCAGCGTCAAGAGTGAAAATGATGCTGATATTGCAGAAAGCTTCAAATATTGCCCTGACCAAAGAGCAATCCACTTATTGCAAGCATCCTTTGGGAAACTGTGCCGAATCGGTACCCTGGGAGGCACTACATGGACAAAGAAAATCCAGACGAAACCGTGCCGTCTTGTACTCGCGCGCCCTTGCATTACCGAAGAGGCCAGAAAAGCAATTGAAGATCTCAGATCCATGTCTCAAATGTCAAAACGTATCGAAGAAGATGAATCACTTCGCAATAGTACACTTATGGTAGTTGACACGTTTAAAGATGAATCTAGCCGTCGTCATCTTGCATCTTCTATTGGTTGCGAGCTTCCTGTTGATAGTGATGATCCAAAAGAACTTACCTATTATATGGCAAATGTTGCAGAATTCGGCTTTGATCATATCATTATAATTGGGGAGCTTGAAAATGGAATGATTTTTTTGGATTGCTATGGTCGTGTGTTTCAATGGGAGGAAGAATGTCAGATGTTGTGGCCACTCGGAAATTCTTTGGAAGAAGCAATGTCAAGTGACGTGAAAAATCAAGTGCCATGGTATTGGGAGTATGATGGAGCTGTATATGAGTTCAAAGAATTACTTCAACGTATGTGCAAAAAATGTTATTGTAATGTTGCATTAGTTGCAGATAACTTTATTTAATATTTTTATATTTATTCTAGAAGGATCTATTGATGCAAAAAAAAAAATTAACAAGAGATCAAAAAAGAAAAAACGTTAATAATATATTAAGAATATGGAGATACATGAAAAAAATGCACAAATCGTTAATTATGTTCTGCATTATTTTTGCAAAATACACATAGCAATTTGAAAAAAATAGTAAAGATGTATTTGAAACTGCCAAGTTAATAAAGTTTCGGAGCTTATTTTGTTTGCCTTTATGTTCACTTGTGTATTGGAAAAAATAATAATACGCTTATTTTATTGTATCATCATTATGAACGTTTAAAGTTATGAGTTTACTAAATGAGACCCAATTCTCGAAGATGCTCTGGAATAACTATATATGGGTCTTCATAATACCAGACATA